TTGATTGTGTTTCACTCCTTCCAGTATACTCTCAGTGACACAGTGTTCTGGGCCGACTAATATTGTTGATTCGTTTTGTTTTTTGGTCTTTTGCTGCTGTCTTATTAATGATACTTTTTTTTCCTTTCTTGCTTTCGGCTTCATGAATATCGACAGATTCTTCGATTGATGAATGATCTCTCTACTCATCACCCGCCCCAACAATAAATAAAGAGGAAGTAGGTTGCGCAGGCTTGGAGTTTAGGTCAGCATCACTTTGCCTTTATTTTTTCGATTGTAAACTTCTCCTCTCTTGAATTTTTAATTATTAGATCTCCGGTTTCATTGACCGCTATAATGTCGTGGTTTTGACTTCATTTTCATCTGTACGTGAAAGCTGTGCGGCGTTTCCTCTGTTTTTTTTTTTTTTGTTGAACGAATTCCTTAGTGACTGTAGAGGGTAAACGTCAAAAACCGATTGCCAATTAGATCTTCGGCATAGTAGCTTGCACGAGGGCAGTGGCAACGACTTGGTGGTATCTTTACCCTCTTTTCCCTTTTTAAAATGCCTCTAGAAAATTTGCTGAATCGGATCTATTTCTGAAGTTGTCGCCAGGGTAATTGCTCTATCACATCTGTTTCTCTTTTATTTCAATTTTCTTTGGGGTTTTCCCATGATATATATCGTTTCTTGCTTTGCTGGTTATTATATAGGAGGATCGACGAGGTCTCCCAGTTGATGAAACATTTCTCATCTCCTGAAGGGAAAGACGAGGTCAACGCAGAGGCTCAAATTTGAGGCAAATACTCCTGCTGGGCAGTTTCTTGAGTAATTCCTTCATGACTTTTTGTTTTGAAATTGTGCAGAGAAGCATCAAATTTCGATGGAGATGATTTCTTTATGTTGAACTTTTGGGAGGTTAAAAGTTTCTCTATTGTCTGTTGGTAAAGGCATGTTTGTCACCTTTCTTTCTCTTTAATAGTGTGGTTCAGTTCCTTTGAATTTATTAGCTTTCAGATTGCGTTTCTAACTTAGATTTTGGTTGGTTCTCAGCCAGTATTGGGATGGGGATTTAAATGTATAAATAGGGTGTGTTTAGATTTTTTGGTTTACTGATCTCAATGATTACTTGCAACATGCAGCAGTGCAGAGTGATGGAGATGAAATTGAGAGCTTCCCTTCATTGGTCAGGTACTTCCTACTCTTCTTCATCAGATCCATCTTCCAATGACTATCTTGCTTGCTTCTGCATTTTCGTTTAAGGATTTGTTTATAATCTGGTGGCTCTTCATCGCTGCATGCTAATTGACAGGATTTAAATGCTGAAACTTGACTTCTCTAGATAAGTGGTGCCACCTCAGTCCTCACACTATGATGAGGTTACAAGTTCAACTGCTTCTGGATTAAGTTGTCTTGATTTAATGGCTGGTCATGTGCATCATTTCTATTGAAAATATTGTGCCACATTTGGTTCTTTGTGGTCTTCCGTGTTCGTTATTCTTTTCTCCCTTCGTTAATTATAGTGGGACATTAAATTGATGGAATAGGCTGTTTCATTATCTGCTTAGCAATTGTCAGTACTTCTTTACATTCAGAGCATGATAAAACTTTTGGGTAGTTCTGTTTTCAGCAGTCATTAGGACCAGGAAGTCAGTCATAAGGCCAGATCTTCAAATGATGTGCAATTGTTCACCCATGGAAGAGAGTTAAGAGAAGAACCCCTTACTTGGTTGGACTTTGCAAATCATTTCCTTTTACAGTACGGGTCGCTACACGTTCACTTCTTATGTTTAGTTGTCCGTTTTTATTTGTCTTCCCCTTCCTTTTTCTTCTTTCTTCTTTGCAGGCTTTGCTTCTCTTTGTTAGTTCAAAGAAGTGGGAGTACATCGGGCCAGGTCTGATTCATAACTTCACTAGCTTACCTTGCATAGGATTTGTAATTGCCATCATCAACTCGACAACTCAGAGAACCCAACATCAGACAGATGACACAACCAAGAGTTGATAACTGAGCTACTACCAGAAATTGACTCTCTTCGCCTGCTTGCTCTACCCAAAAAAGGTTTTCTTTCTATCAAGTTCTCTACTGATGCCTTTCGTTTCCTTTTAATTGTTTTATATGGGTTTGCACACTTGATGCGTGACTTGATTACTTAGAGATTGCAAGTGTCCATGTTTTTTAGTGAGGCTATGCTAGGGGCTCTTGGCATATGCGTGAAAGCATTTTTTTTAATTTGTTATTCTGCCCATTATGTACTTGTCTTTTAGAGTTGCGATGCTATTACTATTTTGACATATACACTCACACAGGAGTTTGAACCTGAATGAAATTGCGGTCGATTCACTAGCCTCCTTCTTCCTTTGCTTCATGTTCTTCATTTGAAGGTTTAATCAATTATGATGTTCTGAGACCTGGCTTCTAATGTACACCGTATAAGCAGTACTGATTTGTTTCTCTTTTGCTGGGTGTATAAATTATACTTTAAAGAATAGATTAACTATTTTGGATGGTTTACTTCCTTCATCACATGAGGTCGTTGTGTTTCCATGATCTCTTAATTTGACAGCGAATGAACCACACAAACTTGAATTTGTAGTATATGGTCTACTTATTACATTATTGTTAGTTCTAGATAACTTCATTGAATCATGAGCCTTTTCATTTCTATCTACAGGTAGTGACCAAAGGAGGAACATGGCAATACAAATGAGAGATCATGGAAGTTGTAGCTGGGCACAATCAACAGTTCTCAAAGGGGCAATGGACGGATTCTTTCGAAATCTTGAGATCTCCCACAAGTACCTTGGAACGAAAGTCTGTAGTAGTATCTGAACATCCTGTCCTTCTAGGGGTTTCTACAGGGTCGCACTCACATCGGGTAAGCAGATATATGATGTCCGATTCATCTATTAATTGTCACTCATCTAATTAGTTACTGATTCCATCACTTCTTTAAATGTTCAGGTCTCCAGTTCGGTGCGGAGTTGCAGGACTCCTCCTATGTTGGATCTTAGCAGCAAATGCAACGAACCCTAAAGTCAGAGAAGCTGGCTGAAATAGCCTGAGATCAGCCAAGGGTAGAGTTGGATGGCAACAAACACGGGCCGCTATAGGATCGGGTAATTTTTGTTTCCCTGTTTCCATTTTAGCGTTTGTGTAACTGGACCTCACTACTCAACCATTTAAGTTTCAGCACTTGTATGCTTATGTTCCCTTGTGTGTTACGTGGCCTACTTGGGAGAACAATCTGATGTTCATTTATGGTTATGGTTAGATACCTTATTCCTGTGTTTTCATTTTTCACAAAGCAAAATGTCCTTTTTAAAGCTGCAAAAACTTCCCTTTACCTTTTTTTTGGTTTTCTAGGATCATGCTTTAACGGTTATGTTTATACGAACTACTGTTTCTATGGAATTAATAAGGACATGCAAGATACGTTGATCAACCATGTTAGTTATAGTTTAAATGTTCATTAATGTGTTTGTTTTGCCATCTAATTTTGTCTCTGTAGAACCACCAATGGGCTGTACACTTTTCTAGCCTAGGAGAAGCTCGCATTCAGTGCTTTTAGTTGTTCCCTCGGAGGTTTATTCTAAGGATGTCCAATAAAGGCGGTCCAATCATGCCCTCCTGCTACGGTGCTACCTTACAATTAATTGATTGTTTTCTTATTTTGACTACTTTGTGTAATTTTGAGAAACAAGAAACTACGCCTGCAACCAATGTTTGAGACTGCTTCAGTTTAGAATCAATTTTAATGTATTACAGCAAAAAAAAAAAACTTTTGATGTTATTGGGTTCTTTCTTGTCCTCCACAAGGAAACTTTTGTACCTGAAATTGAATTACTGTTTAGCAAAGCCGATCTGAGTCGTATTCACGGTCGATCCCTTTACTTTTAGCAAAGAGTAACGCCATATTCTGTGCACTCCAGTATCACTATGTTTGTATAGATAGCTCCACTCTTCCATCTTTTACCCCGATGTTATTGCTGAATAGTAGATGTTGGATTTTGAATTTATGGATGGTTGACAAATTGTTTTTCGCACTAATTGTGCCCTTTTGAGAAAATAGCTAATGTGGCCAATGAATTCTCCAATCACAAATTCCCTCCCGGCGCAGAGCGCGGGCTTCCTTGCTAGTAGTTATTTAATTGTAATGAACTCACAAGTGTAACAAACAAGAGCCATCATTTTTTTTTTTTTTTTTGTAGTTTCTTGCATGTGATCTTGTTGAATTGCCATAATGATCGATGTCAATATGAGTAAATAGAATTCACCCATCCGATTGTTGGATTGGTGCAATGATAAAAAAAATTATAACGACGTCAATTTTATCAAATGTGATTGTCGTATATACAAAATGTAACCTAACAACGTCAAAAACAACCTGGGAGTGCATGCATTCGATTACGGCCATGTTTGAACAATCCAAGCTTTCTTTTTACCCTGCAATCCCCCAATCACTGATGCTAATCTCTTCCGTGAAAGTCGGGTGAGGACTTACATACAGAAAAGTAAAAATTTAGGTATTGAAATCTAATTAAATTGAATATTAAACCACCCATAGATTTGGACAAAATATTCATGAATTTGTGCAATTGTCATCCAATATGAATGTACGTACGTACCGTAAGCTTACCCAATATGAAAGTCCCCGTCTTTGTTGGCGTCTGAAAGTAGTAAATATTGCAAACCAACCACGTAACATGTCGATCAGCAAGTCAACACGTGGGGATAGCCGGCTTTTTCTCTCGCAAACTTTGACCCACCGCCACGACGACAACCCACAAACAACACTAAGTTTTTTTTTAATAAGATTAGAACAAAGACGAGTACAACAACACAATAATTAAGCAGCCGTACACGTCGACCCAGCTGCCTATAAATAACAATAATCCCCCTAAACTGCCTCTCTAAGCCATTTATATTATTAGCCGATAAACAAATAAACAGTCTCCCTCTCTCTCTTCTTCTCTCTCGCTCTCTCTCTTCGCTGATCACAGATTCACAACAGAGATAATGACTGTCAGGAATAACGGGGAGTCGCCGGAGGAGAGGAAAGGGTATGTGCATAGCCAGGTGCTGCGGATTCGGGAGGAGGATTCGCATGTGGGCCAGGATTTCCTTGACGTTTTAAAAGGCTCCGGCTCCGGCTCCGGCGCCGGGGTTGACAATAGTAACTATAACTTGATGATCAAGAATATGGTGGCTGCGGCGGCTTCGTCGCCGGTGATGAATGATGGAGTAGTGGTGTTGTTGATGAGACCGATGTTGCCTTCCTCCCCTCTTAGCCGCAAGACCACCGTCAATTGATTAATCAATCGGGCCCCCGTCACAGGTAGAAATTTGTTCCTTCGTTTTCCTGTTCTGTATATATATATAAGTCTTAGTTTTCAGTTTTCCGTGATTTAAAATGGATTTTGAGGTTGAGATGATTTTTGTTTCTGCGTGCAGGGCAGAAGAACAGAGAGAGATCGATTGGCGGATGAGGGAGTTGGTGTTTATGTTTTTCTTTTTGCTTGTACAATTTTTACGTAGCTATGCTCTAGGTCGTGTCATCCTGTTTTGTATTGGTTTTTTTCTTTTCTTTTTTTGTCTGGTAATATGAGAGCAAGAAAGAAAGGGAGAGGATGGTAGTAATGTAATTAGTACGTGGAAGTCGTCCGTTCTTGTATATTGTACAGAACTGAGATGCTATTTTCTCTTTGACCAAAACCAAAAGAGACCTATATATGCTCCCTTGGTGTTTATCTATTTTGTAAATATTATTGTTTCTATTTTTATATTCTGTCTTAGTGTATGCTTTCAAATTATTGGTCCAAAAAAATTATGATTTCTCATGAATACTCGCCAAATTCATAAGAACTAATCAATCGTACATATTTATAATTATATTGATGATCACTAAGACAATCAAAATAGTAGAATAAGACAACCAAGGTCGCACCAGGCTGACTCCATTCCTTAACACTTCCATGAGTTCCATACCAAACTTTCTGCTGGTAGATGGATATATGTCGTTGATTAGTCAAAGAATTATGCTTTTTGGCTCGATGATTTTTGCCTAAAAGTCTGAGGGGGGAGGAAATAAGCAATTGGGCTCTGATTCCCTTCTTGGTTGGTTTTAACGGACTGGAACAAGTTGGGCCCTTACAGCCCGCTTGGACCAGATATATGACAATCCACATCTGAGCCCATTCGACTTTCCAGGCTTTAAATTGAACTACTCAACTTAGGCGAGTTTGTGGTGGGTGGCTCTGGCTCTCCGCTTGCCACTCACCTCCTGATTTTGCACGAACCTGAATTGGGAATTTCATTACTCAATTGTTATTTCGAATCGTAATAAAATGAAATTATTAAAAAGTAGGTGATTTGATCACTTAACCACTATGATTAGGGTTTCGATCCTTGCCCTCATGAATATGGAAGTCTCTTTGCAACCATTCATTTATTGTTTCGTCATAGACAACAAAAGTGTTATAAATGCGCTGCTACGGATCGGGAAATCGCCGGAATCGACAAAGCAAGAATACGAGAGCAAGAAGCGAAAGACACAGACACACGATTTACGTGGTTCACTAACACGATGTGTGTTAGCTAGTCCACGGGCGAGAGAGAGCCAGTTTCACTATATCTGAGGAGATTACAGATTACAGAGGAGTATGAGAAGTATTTATAGTACTTCTCCATGTGGGTCTAAACCTAATCCAATCTAGCAAAGGAAACGGTTACAGACCAGGCCCAGAACCCGAACCCAAATAACATTGAGCTCATACACCGTGGGCCGGGGGCGTTGCCCCCGCACCCCCACCGGGGCGTTGCCCCTGGACCCCACTCGCTGACCGGGCAGCGAGACCCCCGGTTACCAGTCGTAGCGGCTGATAATCCGATTCAAGTCATATCAACAAAAAGAAACATTAGTCCTTATTATTGACGAAGAACAGCTCAAGAAATTAAGGGACGAATTTACTAAGTTGAGGCAAGGCAGGCTAGTATCACAACAAGAGAGAAAGAAAGAAGTTTTGAGGTGTCCCTTTCTGCATGCAAAAGCAACCACTACTGAAGAACAAGAAAAGGTCGTGCTTACTGCTTAGATCTGGACCACATGGCTCTGCTTTGCTTTGGGATAGGGAATGATGAACAAGAACAAACACAATTTGGCTCTTTATTATTGGACTCGGCAAATGATAATGATAGTCTAATCGACTAGAAATGGCATTTAGCAGAAAGATTGTTTCGTTTTCAGGAGGGGACTTAATAATTTGGACGGGAGAAGAAGGGGGCAGTCGTACGAGTAGGAGAGGTTTGAGGTTGCCAACTGACCTATAGATGAACCCGATCGAGGGGCCGGGGGCAACCTTCATTAATGGCGGTGCCTCTTTCATGCATGTTTGTTTTTGGGGTTTTGGAGGCATTCTTGTTCTTGTTCCATGAACCTGAAATCATTCTGCAATTTGGCCAGGAGAAGATGTTCAGACTCGAGAGAGGTGATGGTGATAGTGATTGGGGTATGTCGGTATTTGATTATCAATCAATTTGTTACTCTTTGAACAGCAAAATTTATCATATTTTCTAAGGGTAATAAGAAAAACCATCTTGATATTTTTTATATAATAGGATTGTTGATTGAATATTTATCCAGTAAGTTTTGTTTGGGAATATTTATGGGTCCTAGATTTTAATTCTAGAGGTTTCATTTGTCCAATATGTTAGACATCCCGGTAATGACATTTTGGGTTGGTTTGGTTTTGGTGATAGTTAAATTGATGCATTGTAATCAATGCATGCATAATAACATACATGTATATAAGAAAATTGGTGTATTGTAGTTTACATCGTTTGGTTGTTTATGATAGTTATTGTAGTATTTAAATAAGTTATATTCCTTTTTTGGGGTGAAATATCAATTTTAACCTTTGTTTTCAATGTAAAAAAGCAACACACATAAGGTAGGGACACAATTGGAAGAAGAAAAAATCCCAACAATCTCATGCTATCATGTAATCTCAAATTACTCAAGAGTTTAATATCATGGTATCGGATCCAAAGTCAAAGCAATAGAATACTGAAATAGGAGATACCATAACGTCTGAAAATTCAGGAAAAGATTACATGCTTGTCAAACAATGAGTACAAATATTGTGGAAATTTAACTAGAGAGAGAGTTGTATGTAAATCGAGAACTAGAGTCTAGAGGTGAGGAATTCTTTACCTATTAATAATTTTGAGCCTTTCGTATTGGTAAGGGTTGAGCCCTTTTGTCTTAAGTTCTAGTTGGAGCATCTAGCTATTGCCTAACTATTTTGGTTGTTTATTATAGACAAAAATATAGAGGCAGTATACTACTATTCGTAAATTTGAGACTGAAAAAGGTTTTATTATCGATATTATTATGTTCATTACTCACGACACGTCAATATATCACCTGATTTTCGGGCATGAAAACAAAACAACGTAGCATCGTCTTTATAAATGGTTGGTTAATCCTTACACATTAATATTTATAAATGTTTGACATCAACATTTGCGAATTGTCTATTGCAAAAACTCTTATTATGTAATAATTTACAAAGCAAAATTGAAAATGAACAATAAACATATATCCCTGATCATTGTTTAACCAGAACTGGAAGCCAGACTAGTCATAGACATATATATTAGTGAAAAAGAATGTGTGGTTGTCTCCCCTATGGCTTAAAGAAGATTGGTGATGATAATAATAATAAGCATGGCAATAGAACCATAATTGCATTTGTGGGCCGTGATGGTCTGGGCCCAGGTAAAGCCACAACTGTTTCCCTGGAATTCTGCTGCATATCATCTCGTGCACCCAGCCACCCACCAGACCAGAACCACAAATCATATACACAAACACAACACATATATCACTTTTTCTCTCGTGTGCATGTGAGCAAAGATCACAAATGGACTCCAATCTGAATTTTTAATTGAATCCACTCCCGTCCCGATATATCACTTTCTTATGCCCTGTCCTCGTTAAACGACATTGCTCTCCTCATGTGATCCTATATGAATTATTGGTAGGAGTCTGAAACCCTCTCTGTATCTTCTGTATTTGTCAAACAAGACTGCGGTAGTATCGTACTATTACTATGGCGCATTATAGCTTCTAATGCGTCGAGAGAACGGTAATCTACTTTACTTCTATTTCTAAATTACTACGAATACTACTAAACTGGCTTATTATTTATTGACGTATCAAAACCAAAGAACAACGTACATATTTATAGGACTACTCTCATAACTCTTTCCCTCTCAAATAAGGTAAACTAATCCTAACCCAACAAGTAAATACTAACTTCCTCAACAAGACACAATAAACTAATACGAACCCAATAATTAACTAATAATATGTTCCTAATTACTAAGCCCACTTGACATAAGGCCCACCGGGAGTTATAATGCACCATACTATAGGTGATTATATACCATTAGTGCAAATTGAACTTCACATACAAAAAAAAAAATGTGTGGCACTGTACAGAGGCACTAAACCAAACTACAATTTAAGAACAAAATGGATAATGATGAGTATATCTGTATATGTCAAGATACCATTCGGTCTATGTGCTTCGGTTGATGCTAGGATTTTCAAGGCTTAGGGGTCGTTTGCTTCATGGATTTAAAAATGAGGGTTTTGTAATTTAAAAACCCAAGGATTTATCAAGGATTTGAGGCATCATGGATTTGTAACAATCCTTTGTTTGTTGGGATGTTTTTATCATGGATTTAAAGGTGTGGGATTTACTACTTGAAGTCAAAAATTACATTACTGCCCTTTTCTATATGTTTGACATGTTTATGATATGTACACAAAACAAGGACAAAACTTCAAAATTACCTTACTATCATTTTTTATATGTTTGACATGTTTATGATATGTACACAAAACAATGACAATACATACTAATAAGCATAATGTTGCCACATGGAAAATAATAATAAACGAGAAAATTCCGTTTTAACTTTTAACGTAACATAATCAATTACCAATTCTTTGTCCTCCTTTTCAAAAGTAACATATAACAACATATATTAGAATCGTGAGAACAAAGAATTACACGTTCTATGAAAAGGTCAAAGAAAACTAGAACACAAGAAATGATATAAAAAATCTAACTCATGTTTGCACATTAATTGAACGTTTATATTATTCATTTATTGTTAATTATAATGTATAATAGTTAAATTTGAGGGCAACCTTGGAATATTAAAAGTGCATGAGGGTATATGGGTAAAATCTCATCAAGGATTTATGCCATATTCCAAGTCCCACATCAACATGTGGGATT